AATACAGATAGAAGCTTACTTTTTTTTGTTTTACTTCTTTTTCATATGGATTTAATTTTTTTTGCAGATTTAAAAAAATACTTAGAGAGTTTTGGCGATTAACAAAGATGGTCGACAAAGAAGCATGCTCCAGGATTGAACAGCGGTCAGTTATCAAGTTTTTGGCTGATGAAGGGTGAAAACCAGTTGAAATTCGTAGGAGAATGTCAACTGTGTATGGTGCCACATGTTTCAGCCAAAAAAATGTCTACAAGTGGGCTAAATTGTTTGAAGAAGGACGGAGCAGTGTTGAGGATGAAGACAGGCTTGGGAGGCCTACAGAAATGAGGTCCTCTGAGGTGATTGAATCAGTCAATGACCTCATTCAGTCTGACAGAAGAACTACTGTGGCAGGTCAAGAAAGACATAAAGAACAAACGCAGGGGTCATCAGTCAGAAGGAGTCATCTTGAATCATGACAACGCAAGGCCTCACACAGCAGCCCAAACGGTGCAGACCATCAATGAGCTGGGCTGGGAACTGCTCCCTCATCCCCCTTACAGCCCAGACCTTGCCCCTTCAGACTTTCACCTGTTTGGTCCCTTGAAAGCGTTCACGAGAGGCACGAAGTTTAAAAGTGACGATGAAGTCAAATGTGTTGTGAGCGACTGACTGAGACATCAGTTCAAAGATTTTTACGCTGAGGGAATACGGGAGCTTGTGCACAGGTGGGAAAAGTGTGTGACAGTGCTGGGAGACTACGTTGAAAAATAAAACAAAAAGTAAGCTTCTATCTGTATTAGAAGTCCTTATACCGAAAAATTCACCTTATTTATTGAATGACCCTCGTATATATATATATATATATATATATATATATATATATATATTATATCTGTCCGTCTCTTTACACACGTACGCAATATATATATATATATATATGTCTGTCTTTACACTCGCATACAGATATATATATATATACATTTTATATCTGTCTCTCTCTCCTTACAGAATAATATATATATATATATATATATATATATATGTATATATATATATATATATATATATATGATTCTATGTTCACTTTTATGTTTATCCACGCTCTATCTCTGATATTGACCACTTTATCCCATGAATATAGGACATCTTAAGACTATATATATATATATATATGTGTGTGTGTGTGTGTGTGTGTGTGTGTGTGTGTGAAAATATATATAAAATAGGAAGGAACTGGTTAGGTAAATAATCCAAAGTTCCTTAGTATTGTGTGTGTGTGTGTGTGTGTGTGTGTGTGTGTGTGTAAAGAGACAGACAGACAGTCAGTCAATTATCTGCCATGCGTAATACACGCTTTGGCGATCATGTATCTTTCGATACATGAATGACGGGAGAGATTTTTTTCCCGCAGTAGGTTGCCATTTCTTTCTGCGGTAGACCAGCTACCAACCAAGGCTATAGTATCCGGGCAGTCCTGCTATTTACCCATAACTGAGGTGGGGAACCAGGGGATTAACACCTTTCCCAAGGATATTAGCACGTAAATGAATGCAATGCATTCGACTGTAATTCGAACACAGCTCTCCCTTTCCTCAACCCAAGCTATCCATTACTCCACCGTGCCTCGACCAGAGAGACAAGACGAAATGCACACATATATATGAAATCTGTTCATATATATATATATATATATATATATATATATGATATATATGACACACTCATATCCTCTCTCCCACCTCACTTCGTTAATTTTACGTATACTTTATGAGGTCCGTCAAAAACGTGTGAATTTCTTTTCATTTTTCATTTCAGCTTTTGGAAGATAAGTCTGATGATCCAGAACCCTGTTAAAGGGGTTATGGTGAAATAACTTATTACATGGAATCTTAACGTGGTCTGTTTTTTATTCAAACATATCTGCTCTGAATTTTACATTGAGCTCTCTGGATATCATCCTCCTCAGGTCTACCCATACGGATTACCTAAATTTGCATAAACTATATATATATATATATATATATATATATATATATATATATATATATATATATATGTGTGTGTGTGGGGTGTGTGTGTGTGTGTGTGTGTGTATTATACTGAGAGAGAGAGAAATAGAGAGGGAAATACATACAAATATCTGAAATCACGTATATTTCTTTCTCTATATATACATATACAGACTAATGACATTCACATGCACAACTATCTATCTATTCATATATATATATATATATGTGTGTGTGTGTGTGTGTGTGACTTTTTCCTTTATATATATATATATATATATATAACTTTTTCCTTTTTATATATATATATATATATACATTAAAGGAAAAAGTTATATATATATAGAGAGAGAGTGAGAGACAGACAGACAGAGTGAGGATGAGAAACAGAGAGGCTGAGAGAGAGCACACAGTGGCAGTGTTTTAAATCCATATGTGTGTGTGTTTGTGTGAATGTGTATAGTTGGATATAAAGAATGTGAGTGAGCAAGTTCTGGATCAAAAACCTGATGGCAAACATTTTTGATAAAATATGACTTGTTGCTGATATGCCATGAAAATTGGTCAAAATGAAACAGCGGGCGTTTGACAACTCGATACAACCGACTGCCAATAACTGCCTCAGCTGCTCAATCAATAGCGAATGTGGAAAGCTGTTAAAACCATTATCAACCTTGAGAAGGTCCAGGCCTGCACACGCACGCATACGTGCACACACTAACGCGTATAATGCGTGGAATGACAGACATACACCGTTGTGCAAATCAATTGAAACAAAACGAATAATTCTGTTTTTATTTACTTTTTTCGTATTTTTCCAATGAAGCATGAACCAGTGGACATGTCAGTACTTCGTATCTCTATTCCACGAAGTCGTTTCTTGCATATTGACCCCAAATTCTCAATTAGATTTAAATCAGGAGGATTTACGAGCCAGTCGATAGCACTTTGATTTGCTCACTGGTAAGGCTTGCCAGTGTGTTTGTGCAGCGTTAGAATGTTCGTACGCTTCCTTGGAGTAACGTCCATCGCAGACAACGGCCGTAGGACAACTAATCGAAAATCGAGACAATAGTGTTTGGGTGTGATAAAAATCTGATGCAAACACGGATGATGCAATATTTTTCAAGGCCAAACAAATTTTATCATACACCCGAAAATAGATTCATACTACTGCACACCGCTGCAAATGACCTAAACTGATGAAAAAACAGAAATCGATTACACCCTGTTACTCCAGTCGGACAAAAACTGACCGTATGATGAAAGAAGAAAACCAAATCGGTTGTTTCAATCAATTTGCACAAGGGTGTATAGTCAAAATGAACATTTACACAAAAACATATATATATATATATTATATATATATATATATATATATATATATATATATATATACATTCATATACAAAAATACATATCAGCTATAATATATATATATATATATATATATATATATATATATATATATATATGTGTGTGTGTGTGTGTGTGTTCATCACGTTATATGCTATTTTGGGGGATACTCATATTTGAGTAGACGCTCTGTTTATTTATTAATCCGTATATTTATTTATTTCCCTCGATTGGAGTGAATGTCAGAAAAATCACATTAAAGAAAAATTTACGCTATCCCTACAGGATTCGAACCTGCGTCCCTCTAGTTAAACCCGATACTATCTAGTAATAAATAAACGGAGTTTCAACTCAAATATTTTTAGGAATGGATTTTTTCATTTATTAATCCGATTTATTTTAATCTATTGCTTAAAAGTCATTTTTAATGAACACGGACCTGAATATTTGAGAAATGTTTATCAGGGCTTAAATTTTCTTAATAAGATTTCTTGAATATTCAAGCCGGTGAATGGAAATGAATTAATATACTATTTATTAAACAAATTTAGCGAGGATTAAGATTGTGGAAGATTAACGGAGGGTATTCTAATTCCAGTCGAATCCATTATATTCACTTACCCTGCTAATACTCTTGGTAAACCTATGAATACTCTTCTTCTCCATGGGTAAATAGCAAGAGAGACCAGGTTCTAATGGATGACAACTGGTCTACCGCAGAAAGACATGGCAACCAACTGCGGGAAGTCATGTATCGAAAGATATATGATCGCTTAAACGTGTATTACGCATGTCTTTTTTTTTTATAAAAAGGAAGGTTTTGACCCCTTCAATCTGATAACCTCCAATAACGTCCGATGGCATCAGGATGTCTCCTTCTGACAAATCGACTCATGCTCAGAATGCAAACATTCTAAACCACTCCGTCACGTACCCATAATATATATATATATATATATATATATATATATATATATATATATATATATATATATTAAAAAAGAGAAACCACAAAAGTTTTTGGTTATAATGCGTGTGAATATTGCATTAATATCATTTGAGAATAGCGGCGATATTTACAGATGCATTTTCTACTATTTAACCCATACCTGTTGGGGGATTGGAGACATACGTTTTCCAACAGTATAGAAAGATAAAGTGGGTTCCAATAAATTTGACCGTTTTTAAATGTGAATTAAGTAAGCGTCTAATAATTTTTTTCTTTGTCTTTTAGATTTGGCAGACATTTTCGGCGATATTATTTTTTACACATGTCAATAGAGAAATAAATAAATTTTCACAAATAACACTGATTTATTTACTGCTGACTTTAATCCGTCTTAATGAAACACCCTTATATATAATCCGTCTTAATGAAACACCTTTTACTTATAAGAAGCGCTGTTAAAATGTTGTCAGGCCAAACGACCTATCAAAATCGGACCAAATATCTAAACATCAGATCTTTTTTTTTATTTTAAATTCATTTTCGGTCAGTCTAATCAATTTTCGGCAACCTTCGTATACTGTTGACGTATTTAAACGTATCATGATGACCGCCTATGTTGCTTTGATTTGTTTAGACTTGCCTGCCCGTATCTGTCCCATCGGAATATCGATCTGACGTCGAATTGGAGGCTGGAGGAGTTTCGCATGACACCTCGACGCCTCTCGACTTGGTACGGACCAAGTATGACAAGTTTGTTTTTTTTTTTCGTTTGTACTTATCTGGCAAACTTTCATTTGATGATGGCTGTACGGTTATGTACATTGGTCTCATGGTCATCTATCTATCTATCTATCTATCGCAGTCTGCTAATAATCTATCGATGTAGTTTGTTAATATCTATCTATCTATATATATATATATATATATATATATATATATATATATCCATTACATTTTGTTAATATCTATCTATCTATCTATCTTTCATCCTTTCTTTTTTTTTTCTTATATATCTACCTATCTGTCTATCAAGTTCTATTTGTACAACAGCAACTTTCTTATTATCTGTCAGTAAAGAAATATATCTAAATATATGTGTGCAAAAATATATCAGTATATATACACACACACATATACACACACAAACACACACACACATACACACACACACATATATATATATATGTGTGTGTGTGTGTGTGTGTATAAAAATATAAATATGTGTGTATGTGTGTGCGTATTCCTGATGACGCTTGTTCATCGACGAAGTAAACCTGTCATGTTGCTGTTTTTGATATCACCTGGAGTTGATATCAGTCTCCACACTTACACACTGGAGCCCTGTAAATACAGCATAGCTTAAATATATATATACATATATATATATATATATAGTGATTTTCCAAGCGTAGCTTAGATGTGGCACAAGGCCGAAATTAGGGGGTACCCAGTGAGGATCAAACTCACTACTCAGTCGTAATTGTTCTAGCGAGCCAAGCTTGCTAACCATTACATCGCCTCGAGGTGCCCCCTATTTGGGATATGTATGGGTAGATAGATGCATAAATCGCGAAAAGATCAAAACAGATATATATACATATAGATAGATAGATAGATAGATAGAATCGAGTTTTCATGGAAAAAAAAAATTCACAGACAAATATATACACTCACATTTTTATGTGTGTATGTATGTGTGTGTGTGCGCCATGATACTATGGCAATTAAAATCCGGTATTTGGACGGAGTATGGTTTGGGAGATTTCGTACAAAAGCAAAAGATATAAAGAGCTACAAAAGACAAAACAATTGTGGAGAGTCATGATTGTCAACGTCCTGATACGACACGATACATAAAAGAAGAAGAAGAAGAAGAAGAAGATTTGAACACCGATAAAAGATGAAAGGAAATAAAGCATAATCAACAAAATGGCCCTTGATCTATATATCTAACTATCTATCTATCTATCTATCTATCAGTTCTTTCATTCCTATCTATCTATCTATCTATCTATCTATCTATCTATCTATCTATCAGTTCTTTCATTCCTATCTATCTATCTATCTATCTATCTATCAGTTCTTTCATTCCTATCTATCTATCTATCTATCTATCAGTTCTTTCATTCCTATCTATCTATCTATCTGTTCCATCTATCTATCTATCTATCTATCTATCTATCTATCAGTTCTTTCATTCCTATCTATCTATCTATCTATCTGTTCCATCTATCTATCTATCTGTCAGTTCTTTCATTCCTATCTATCTATCTATCTATCTCTCAGATCTTTCATTCCTATCTATCTATCTATCTATCTATCTGTTCCATCATTTCCATCTATCTATCTATCTATCTATCTATCTATCACGTAGTCTCTTTCTTTCATCTTCTCTGTTAGCTTCTGTCTTTCCCTTTTTCACCTTATTCATTCATTCAAAATGTATACTACAATATATATGATATATCCCAGTCTGCTCATATCTATCTATCTATCTATCTATCTATCTATCTACATTATTTATTTTCTGTTACTTCCAACCTATCTATCTATCTATCTATCTATCTATCTATCTATCTATCTATCTAAATCTGTACATATATGTCGATCAATATATCTAATTCCGTTTATTCATATCTATACTTTCTTTATCAATTCTTTCATGCCTATCTGTCTATCTATTGATCTACCCATACTCATATCTATCTATCTATCTATCTCATATTGACTCTATCTATATCTATCTATCTATCTATCTATCTATCTATCTATCTATCTATCTATGTCGCAGTCTCTTTCTTTCATTCTTCTACGTCCAGTTTATTACTTTCTATTTTCTTTAGAATTGCAATTACTTTTCTTTCTATATAAGGGATTTCATCACATCAATTATTTTTTATTCTGTCCCTCTTTATATCAGATTATATTTCTCTGTAGCTAGAAAGGTATCTTCATATATATATATATATATATATATATATATATATATATATATAGAGAGAGAGAGAGAGAGAGACTAACTAAGAAAAGTAAATGCAAAACTTAACTTTCTTGACATAGAGTCTCGCAGATATACTATACGTTAAAGTTTTGCATGATGCAATCTTTATTATTATTATTATTATTGCTACTACTGTTATATACCGTCAGTATATATATATATATATATATATATATATATATATATATATATATATATATATATAGTAACTAAGAAAAATAAATGCAAAACTTACCTTCCTGACAGAGTCTCGCAGATATACTATCCGCTAAAGTTTTGCGAGATACAATGTTTATTATTATTATTATTATTATTATTATTATTATTACTGCTACTACTGCTATACACCGTTAGTATATATATATATATATATGTAAAATGTATGATTTAGTGAAACAGTTATCCGAAAGAAAAGGGAATTTGACGAAATGAATTCGAATTTTATTTACATATTCTAATTCTAGTTCTCCGTTGCCAAAAGATATCTCGTTACTGACATGTCATGTTCTACGGCGGGAACATAGAAAGAAAAAGAGAAATAGACATTGTGAGAGAGACAGAGGGAGAGAGATAAAGGTTCAGTTTAAAGAATAATTCAAAATAACATTCCTCATTAGTAGCTTGCTTGTCCAGGCTGTAGCAACAAAATAAATCTTCAACATTAATCAAGCTAAGGGAATGACATATACATAAATCCTACCTTAAAAATGCGGGAAATGCTAAGATCATAAAAGAAAAAAAAGATGTAACAAGAAATTTCGTTAGAAATAAACAAAAGAGCGCTGGACTGTTACGTAATATCGGTCCTTGGATATGACAAGTGAATGTTGAACATTCTCCACGGAGGTGAAGAAGAGAAATGAGGCGACAGAACTGTTGTTCTATAGAACGATGCTGAGAATATCATGGGCTGACCATGTGAGCAACGATGAAGTTTTAGGGTGTATGGAAAGAAAATGGACTTAAAATCGGAAAAAAAGCCAGTTGAAATTTTTATGACATATAATGAGGACAGAGTGCTCAGAGATTTTGACACACACGGCACATATGGAAAGAAAGAAGGCTGGAAACGTTTTAAAATATTGCATGCAAACGGGCTCACATTAATCGATATATAGATAAATAAAAATAGAATGAGATAGATAGATAGATAGATAGATAGATAGACAGGCAGGCAGACAAGAGCTTGTGATAGATAGATAGATAGATAGATAGATAGATAGATAGATAGATAGATAGATAGATAGATAGATAAACCCTAGAAAGACCGGGATAGATCATGTAATGTCCGAGATAGATATATCTTGAAACGACTGAAATAGATAAATGCAGAAAAGACCGAGGCAGATAGATAGATAGATAGATAGATAGACAGACGTGAACAGAGTGAGTGAGATAGATAGATAGATAATGAAGAGCTTGTGATAGATAGATAGATAGATAGATAGATAGATAGATATGAACAGAGTGACATAGATAGATAGATAGATAATGAAGAGCTTGTGATAGATAGATAGATAGATAGATATGAACAGAGTGAGATAGATAGATAGATAGATAGATAGATAGATAGATAGATAGATAGATAATGAAGAGCTTGTGATAGATAGATATGAATAGAGTGAGTGAGATAGATAGATAGATAGATAGATAGATAGATAGATAGATAGATAGATAGATAGATAGATAGATAATGAAGAGCTGGTGATAGATAGATAGATAGATAGATAGATAGATAGATAGATAGATAGATAGATAGATATGAACAGAGTGAGTGAGATAGATAGATAGATAGATAGATAGATAGATAGATAGATAGATAGATAGATAATGAAGAGCTTGTGATAGATAGATAGATAGATAGATAGATAGATAGATAGATAAGCAAGCATACAGAATAGAATTAATATAGGTAAGGATATGTGGGCTAAGATATATGATCAATTCGATATTTTAGATTTATACGCACTTGCAGATAACGGTTTTCTAAGTGTAGCTTAGATGCAGCACAAGGCCGAAAGTGCGATGTACCCAATGAGGATCGAACTCACTTTCAGGCCGTAATTGATCTAGCGGGACAAGCTTGCAAACCATGACACCACAATGAAGTGCTAGATTGATAGATAGATTCAGTATAAGAAAGAAAGAAACAAAGAAGTTGCAGATTAGGATAGATATTGATTTTCCAAGCGTAGCTTAGATGTGACACAAGGCCGTAAGAATAGGGCACCCAGTGAGGATCGAATTAGGATAGATAGACAAAGATAAAGATTGTACAAATAAAGCATACATGTTTTATAAATACATTTTCTTAATGTGGATCTTGTTCTGTGTGCGTGTGTGCGCGCGCGTGCGTGTATGGCCGTGATGGATACACTGACTTATGTCATTTTGGGCCTTGGTATATAATTGAACATAAAGCTTATATTAGCCAAGATAAGGAAACTCGGCTAATCGGAAGCTAGTGATAGGGAGGACATTCTCTATTTCTCTTTCTCTTTTTCTTTCGGGAAGATCTGATGGTCCGATCGTAGAAACTCCTTCTTTATCGAGACATTAAAAACCTATTGACTGATATAAAATCTTCTAAAAAGAAAAGCGTGCCGAAGTTGTGTACAGGTAACATTCTAGCAATCATTTAAACAGGCAATAAGTCACATTATATACCTATGAATTAGAATTGAACGACTCTGCGCGTATATA